ATTGGATTCTTTCCTGATTAGGTTCCTGGATTTACTTCAGGTAGAAATCGTGCGAAGTTGACAACGGTATATCAGAGGTAGCCTCATCCCGTAGTTTGGGAGCAGAATGGTTCAAATGGCTGAACCCGCAGAAATTCCAGGTGAGGCCAGACCAAACGGAGTCCTGTCGAAGGTCTTGTCCATATTTGAGGTTTCACGGAGGAAGCACCTGCGTCCTCGCCATCTCGACCCGGGTGATCGGACCCTTCCCCACAAAGATCTCGAGCAGGTCCGGCCTGTCCTCATCTCCCTCGAAAGTCACCCTCGCCCCGAACATCCAAAGATTTTGTACAGCCTCAGCACAAATCCGAGCGTTGTGAGGAAGGTCATGTTCTGGACCTTCTTGTCGTGCCGCCAACGGACCCCAGCCACAGCTCTGGTACTTCTCATCGGCAGACACCTGCTCAATCTCCCGTAGCTGCATCTTCCTCCTCCGGTACGAGTGTTACTTCGCCACCTACTCTACCATGGTCAGAAAACATTGTAAAACACAGTGTTTTGTAGCGGTGTTCGTATTAAATTCACATCTTCGAAAGCATCGCAAATATCCCAAATAAACAATAGAAAATGCACAATATTCTTGCCAGAGTGTGTTTTCCTAGCTGATTTGCAGCCTGTGGCATTCCCACTTTGTCTTGTTGTCGTTTTCTAGGGGTTGATTCCTTTTCCATCACTCTGCGGTTGCTTCCCGAAGTCACAATGTGCTTGGAAAGGGGGGGGTAAGCTAATGCACAACCGCTTTCGGTAAATTTCGAAAATTCTTCAGGCAGGGTTGGCGGTTTCCCAGTATTGTCAAACCATCGCTATTTTCAAGAAGCAAGCAGTGTTTCCTCTCGTGTTTGGCAGTTTGCTGATGAAGAAATTACACCTGTACTTTTGCTATGTACTGTATATCCCCACGTTGGTGTTTTCTCCACTCCGTGTTCCTGCTTCTCCCTTCTTTGTGCGTGTGCGTTGGTCTTTGTTTTTTGTTGTTGGTTTTGCGTTGTTCGCTTCTTTGTTGTGTTTTCCCCGTTTGTTGCGTGCTTGGTATGTTCCGTTGTTTTAGTGTTTCCCGTCTTTTGTGACATTGTGTGTTTTCCAGGTTTTGCTTCTTGCTCGTTGTGGAACATTTGGTTTTAGGATAAAGCAGTCTTCGGACAGGAATCCAACGCTATCACAGAACAGGTGATGTTCAAACGTGTTTATACTCTTTGGGACCTCCTTTCTGTACCCCTCCTTTTTTGGGACTGTGACAAGGTTGCCCATGCCCATTACCTTAGGTGCTCTTTGCCTTTTGCCAGGTAAACAGCTTGACCACGGGACCATAGGACCATAGGAACGGCAGAGGGGCACCAAGGGCACTTGCCAAAGGCACTATTGGCACGCACCACAACAAAAGGTCCTGGACCTCTGCAAAGGGGGTCAGGGCGTGGCTTTAAATTGAACATATCACCTTTTTGGCCGAATAAATTCAGTGGGCATCAATGAAAGCGTTGCTTCTATTGGGGAAATCTCGGGAGCCCCCGTTTAAAAAGACGCTTCGGGGAACCGTTCGGTAATTTTTGGATTGATGGTTTGGAGTTGGATTCGAACCCCTGGCTCTTCTTGCTGGTGCTCAGTAGGGATGGCCCTTCCGGTTCTTGTGAATGAGCCTACGCTTTTTGTTTGAAGGAAACCATAGGAAATAGTGAAGAGAAATCATCTGGGAAAGTGCCCTCCCCAGACCCGAGTCGAGGATCAAGTTCCTGGCCGCGGAGGCGCTGCGGGGCGTGGGGGGCATCATCCTGAACGCCGAGGGGAAGCGCTTCTGCAACGAGCTGGGGCGCCGGGACTACGTCACCGGAGAGATGTGGAAGAGCCCCTTGGGACCCCGATAGGATCGATAGGATCCATCGGATCGATCGGATCGGATCGGAGTTTTTGGTTGGTGTGTTGGTTGGTTTGTTGGCTGGTGTTTATTTGTGGCTGGTTGGTTGCTTGTTTCTTTGTTTCTTTGTTTGTTTGTTGGTTGGTTGGTGGCTTGCTTGGGCTCCGATTAAACTGCAGGGGCTTGGTCCCCCAAAATGGATTTGGGTTCTCCTTTGGTATCCTTGTTCCCTTGAAGCCAAGCTGGAAGGGTTAGCCAAAAGTTGGTTTCAAAGATAGGTCGCATTTGCTTCTGAGGGTTGATTTCCCATTTGAGTGTACCAGTGTGCAATTTGTGTCTTTTGAAGTGCCTTTCCCGCACTTTATGGTTTCTTCCTCTTCTGTGGCGAGCAATTCCACCATTCGAACGTCTCAGCATTTTTTGGTGTATCGAACATGGGCGTGTCTGTCAAAAACTGCGACCCACCAAAAGATGCTGGTTTCCTTTTGGTCTCCCAAAGAATGAGGATAGAACAACCACCCAAAAACGGGGTACCCCCGGCCCCCGGCACCTCCAAAAAAAAACGACGAGCCGCCTCTCGCCCACCTCGGGGCAGCCGAGGCAAGCCGCCCTTCCGGCTGTGCCTCAACAAGGCGGCCTCCGATGAGATCATTTGGCACTGCAAGCACTACACGGGGCGCGGGGTGATGACACTTGGATGGATCTCCGTCCGTTGGTCCCAAACCTCACTTCGTAAGTTTCTGGGACGTTAAACATTTTTTTGTTGGGGGTTGGCCATCAATGTAAAGTTCGGACTTTGCGTTTGGCCCTCCACTCGGGAAGTGACACACGCCCCGAATTCCATTCGGAGAGGCGCAGCTTCTTGCGGTTGGCCGGTTCAGCCATGGCTTTGGTGCGACCAATGTTCTCTTGGTCGGAGTTTTCAACTTCCCTCATTTTGAGGGTGAAGCTTTAAACTCCCTCATGTTGAAAGCCGAGCTTTGTGAAGGGCTAGTTTTTGACTTCCCGAAGCTTTCACAAAGCGCGGAGAGCTTCAGGAAGAGCTACGCCAGCGGAGAAGACCTCGCCAAGGACCGACCGACCGACTGGCCCAGCCCGGGCGAAGAACAAACTTAGGTTTGAGGCCTGAAGTTGGTGCCCGTGTCCGAATGGAATGTCGGGACATTGGAGTGGGTTTAAGCAAAGGTGATGGGGTTAGTTTTGGGGACAGATGGATTCAACCCACCCTAAGACCCTTCCAATGCAAACCCCAGGACCCTCCAATGGAGCACCCCGACCCCTCATGGGCCCTCAAAAACATCTCATTTTGAGGCCCCAAGATCAATCGGGACCCTTGGGGCATCTATTTTATAAAAAGTTCACTTACGGAAACACGCCCAACAAGTGGTTTGACCAAGTGTAACCACCTGGACCCAGCCGAGAATGCGACGCGGGCGCCGGTAGGACATGGGAGTGGCCCTCTCCGTGATCGAGCAGACCCACGAGGAGAAGAGGGAGGGCCATGCTCGAACCCAAAGCCTGCAAGATTCCCAACGCAAGGCTTATTTGGGCGTCTTGGTTTGTTGGGACCCCCAAAATATGGATTTTCCTACCTGGCTTTTTAATAACCCATACTGTTTGCTCATTCATCAGGTTCTCCTGCAAAACCAAGCCAGAGGGCCTCGGGGTTGCCGGTGGCGGTGGTGGTGGTGGTTGCCCATTTGCAGTCGCGGCTGGAAGAGCCATGTCCACTTTCCCACTGCGAAATTCAACAGGCGGTCTTTCTGGTGGTCAATATTTGTGTGTTCGTCGCGCACCTGGGTTTGTCTCTAAATTGACGGAAGCCAAATTGTTCTATTCGGTTTCCCTTCCAGCAACCCAAGAAAACCAACACGGCACACCTATCTGTGTTGGGAACATGTCTTGTGGAATTTCCACATCTCCAGTGAATCTCAGGGTCAGAGTCTGGAAGCATTCCGCGGCACCGTCTTCTTAGGGACTTCTTCCATGTCGACTCTCAGGATGCAGAGCCACGAGTCCCTGGCAAACATGGATGTCAAAGTGGCAATCACTTTTTCAGAATTATCCCTATGGCCATGATTTGTACAAGGGAACCCTTCAAAAGTGCTCAGTGGACGTAATTCCCCATGAAAAGAGGTCCCCATGAAAAGATCATACCCAAATGGCTGCTTCAAGCGTCACCAGAAAAACAAGAAACTACAGCCTGCGATAGCTCTTCAGCCATATGAGTCACGATCAAAGCCCGGATAGATGAAGCTTCGTAAGTCCCAACCATGAATGGGTGCGGGTTTCTCGAGTCTTTTCGATTCTTTCCATGGTTTCTGGGACTACACCCATTTTTATGATGATGGGTTTTGATTGTGATGCAAATGAGTCTGTCTTTGTTTGAGGGTAGCCTTTTTGGTCTGTTCTAAAGGGAAACCAACAGGAAAAAGCGAATCCATTTGCTGGAGGTCCGCTAAAACAAAACGGACGAGCTGCCCATGTGGCTGAACCCCCCCCTCCCCGTTGCTCGTGGCGAGGAGCACTACCAGGCGGCCAAGAAGACGGAGACGGACCCGGATGGGGGATCTTGGCCAGCCTACCCCTCCGGCAAGAGCTGGGACGAGGCGGGGTTTGGAGTCTGAAACCGATTGGTGCTGGTGGAACATGCTGATGTACAGCTGAATCGTTTGTTTTATAAATAAGAACCCATGCATTTAGTTCATCTTCCCACATCTCCTTCCTTTACGTGAAGAGGGGTGACCGCCATGAGACAGATGCATGTTTCCTTGAGGTTGTCCTTGATGGCTTTGGGGCCGGGTGGTTTGGATTTTTTCATTTGAAGCCCCGGTTCTCGTGGGTTGATGGGAAACCGCCCCGCAACCACCAACCCATCCAAACCATTTGGAGGGAAGCCAAAACCCTTCTCCTCACTTCTTGAGTTCGTGAACTTTGGTCACTTTTTGGGAAGACCTGCTTAGCCTAGGTCCCCCAGTAGTGCCCTTTTACCAACTTTTTGGGGGGAGGGTTCCCCTGCTAAAATAGACGTCCCGAAAAACAAGTTGGTACCCTTATTCTAGCCTCTCTACTGGGGGATCTAGTAGCCGCAAACGAAGTGTTTTCACCCTTTTTTTTTGGGGGGGGGACCAAGCCACTCGTGGAGTGAGACGTGAAACAGACTTGGCGTGTTGCCCCTCCAAAGGTGATGCACCCCAACTCAGAAGGGGACACACGCACCCCTCGAAAACTCCAAGCAGGGGATCTATTCTTCCGGGTTCGGGAATCCCAGGGAATCCATTTGCGACGGAATGCCCTTTCTTGGATCCGAGAATCGGGTCCTGAAGCATGAGCAGTACCTAGTGTCCGCTTTCTTTTGTCCCAAAAAGCGTGCGATTTTGGCTTCAAACCAGCCAAGCCCATCCATTCGTGTTGCTTGTTTGCCCAGACCCACTTTGGTGTTGGTTGGTTTGAGGGGAAACTGACAGTTCAAGCCCCCCTCCATATTGGGGCTCCAAATCCATATTCAAGCAATTTGAGGAAAAACCCAGGCCCGGCATTCCTAGTGGACACATACCCACCGGAAACGTTAGTATGGCCGATTATTTCGCTTCAGCAGGCCAGCGGCAAGACGGGCAGTGGCAAGAAGTTCTACCACAACATCATCCCCGGGTCCGCGGTGAAGAGCGAGCCGTTCTATGTGGCCATCATCACCCCGGTGATCCACTACTGACGCTCTCTAGGAACAGCCGGGGGGAATGGGGCGGTTCTTCACTTCTCTTGTGCTTGGTGCAGTTTCCTTTCTTTATTGGTTTTTTTGGGAGGGATGAGGCGGTTGCTTTTCCGTAGGGTCTGGTTGTTCTTGGGTCTGGTTCGGGGGCAGGGGGTGACCCAACTAATCAAAGAAACCAGTGAGACGGGAGTCGGACCATGGTTGACTCGGACTTGTGTGATACCGTCACTATAACAATTCGACAATTTCGTCCTAGGAGTCTTGATCCACTAATTACTGAAGCTCTCATGAACATCCAAACCAGTGGCCGATTGGTTGGGTGAACTCCAAAGGGTGGGGGGAGTGGAGGACCCAAAATAAGCGCAGGGCAATGGTCACTTTTGAAGTTCCCTTGGATTCAGACGAGTCAAGGTGCCAAGTCCCAGCCAGTTGAGTCGCTGCTAGACTGGGAACCCGAAACTTGGAGCTAACCCCTGGTGGTTTGGATTGGTTTGGATTGCCCTTGCTGGCGGGGAAATGGTGTTTCCCACACTCCAAACCAATGGAATGCTAAGAACCGGCGAGTTGCTTGTTGTGGTTCCTCTTGGTTTCAAGGGGAACTGATGGACGTGCTTTTCTCAGCGCCTGAAGCAAATGGAAGCGAAGAGGAAGGCTTCCTTGAGCAGGGACGCCACGTGGCAAAGTTCCGAAATTCCTTTGGCATGTGACCTCTTGGCCGGCTTCCGCGAACATATCTGGGTGTGCCCTTTTGAAGGTTGCACCATGGCTTCGGTATTTTTTGTTGCCCCTTCAAACACGTCGAAAAATCGTCCCCAAATCCGGGGCCTCAGGCATGGGTGGCCTGCTCATCGACACGGACTCCGCGGTGGTTGGCCCCAAGAACAAGGCAAATCGTCGGGGCTCCTTGAGATTTGCCCGTCGATTCGCGGGGAGGGTCCGGGAAAAACGAAAAAATCACACCCCGCCGTGTCTCGGCCTCTCGAAGGTGAATTGGCAGACTGAGTCTAACTCGAAAGGTCCAGTTGCTTACTTGATGGCAGCACTGAAGCGGACGCTTGTTCCAGAACCCAGGCTGGTGGATCACCTTTTCGCTTGACCGAAATAAGCGTTCGATTTTGGCAGACGACGGTTCCATGCCACTTACCGGCAAGGAGTGGACAACTGTGCAGGGGTCATGTTGGATCGACCAATCTGAATCTTCGGGTTGTGGCTAACCTTCAGAATGCCCAATAAGTCCACACTTCGGGATATGGATTCCCGTTTCCACCACAAAAACGCAGGGCTCAGATGCCTGTCGTGGGGAACTGGCGCACGTCTTGCTTCTGTTTGCCCAATGTCTCATGTGGTGTGGGAGCCACACGTCTCCAAGGAGCTGACGTCCGTTGACACATACGGGCCTTTGAGCAGCTCAACGCATTTGTTTCTGGGTCCATGTTTGGTACCAGAATATACCAGGTGTATAATACGTGTATGTATATATATATATACTTTAGAGCCTCCGGCTCAGTCCGCCGACATTGTCCTCTCCCTTTTCTCCTTCTTCCTCTCTCCCTTGTCTCCCTGGTGTGTTCTATCGTCCTCTCTCCCGCCCTCCGCTCCCCATCCTCCCCATCCCCCCAAGCCACTCTCTCCCCAATCTCCCTCTCTCGTATGTATGTATGTATGCATGCATGTATATATGTATGTATGTAATGTATGTATGTATGTATGTAAGTATGTATGCATGTATGTATGTATGTATTTAATATGTATGTAAGGTAGGTAGGTATGTATGCATGTATGTATGCATGTCTGTATGTATGTATGTATGTATGTAGGTATGTAATGTAATGTATGCATGTATGTATGTATGTATGTATGTATGTATGTATGTATGTATGTATGTATGTATGTATGTGTGTGTATGTATGCATGCATGCATGCATGTATGTATGTATGTATGTATGTATGTATGTATGTATGTATGTATGTATGTATGTATGTATGTATGTATGTATGTATGTATGTATGTATGTATGTATGTATGTATGTAATGTATGTATGTATGTATGTATGTATGTATGTATGTATGTATGTATGTATGTATGTATGTATGTATGTATGTAATGTATCTATGTATGTATGTAATGTATGTATGTATGTATGTATGTATGTAATGTAATGTAATGTAATGTAATGTAATGTAATGTAATGTAATGTAATGTAATGTAATATAATGTAATGTAATGTAATGTAATGTAATGTAATGTAATGTAATGTAATGTAATGTAATGTAATGTAATGTAATGTAATGTAATGTAATGTACTATAATGTATGTATGTATGTATGTATGTATGTATGTATGTATGTATGTATGTATGTATGTAATGTAATGTATGTATGTATGTATGTATGTAATGTATGTATGTATGTAATGTAATGTAATGTAATGTATGTATGTATGTATGTATGTATGTATGTAATGTATGTATGTATGTATGTATGTATGTATGTATGTATGTAATGTATGTATGTATGTATGTATGTAATGTATGTATGTATGTATGTATGTAATGTATGTATGTATGTATGTATGTATGTATGTATGTATGTATGTATGTATGTATGTATGTATGTAATGTATGTATGTATGTATGTATGTAATGTAATGTAATGTAATGTAATGTAATGTAATGTAATGTATGTATGTATGTATGTATGTATGTATGTATGTATGTATGTATGTATGTATGTATGTATGTATGTATGTATGTAATGTATGTAATGTATGTAATGGATGTATGTATATGTGTATGTATGTATGTAATGTAATGTAATGTAATGTAATGTATGTAATGTATGTATGTATGTATGTATGTATGTATGTATGTATGTATGTATGTATGTATGTATGTATGTATGTATGTATGTATGTATGTAATGTAATGTAATGTAATGTAATGTAATGTAATGTAATGTATGTAATGTAATGTAATGTAATGTAATGTAATGTAAGTATGTATGTAATGTATGTAATGTAATGTATGTATGTATGTCTGTCTGTCTGTCTGTATGTATGTCTGTATGTATGTATGTATGTATGTATCCTTGCACTTCCCCTTTGCTCCCCAGTATTTCCCGCAAAAACACGGTTTTCCCAGCGTTTTCGCAAAGAGGATGTCCAAAAACACAGAGTTTTGCCAGATTTTCGGCAAAAGGATGCAGGAAGCCCAAGCCAGCAAAAAAGCCGGCAGGGGGAATCGAGCCTGGGACCCCTGTTTTGCAACACCGGCTCCCCGAAGACTACGTTTAGTGGAACGTCATCAAATTGCCGCGCGGTACGTGGGGCCCCCCCCCCAAAAAAAAAAATGGAGAAAAGGGGGGCCCTGAGGGGAAGAGGGAGGAGTGTTGGGGTTATTGGGTCAAATGTTGTTATCCAACGTTTTAACACCCTTGTTTGATTTCATCCTATATTTTGTTGTAGGGTGTTAGGGGTGGATTTTCTGGGGGCCGACATTTTTTTCATTTGAAAGAGTTGGCCCTTTTAGTAGTTGTTTTGTTCTGGGGTGTTGGTGGTTCATTTGTTTATTCCTATTCTTGTTCAAAGTCACTTGTTGTTTCCATGTAATCTCTCACAGTATCGTTATTGTTTTCTTGACCTTTCACTCTTAGTTGGTGCTTACTTGTTTGTTGGTGTTTTTTCATTCTGTATTTTCCTACCATACATTTACATAAAGGACATTCTACTTTCAATTGGTTATAGTCTTTCTGTTGTTCATTTATGTCTTCTTTGTTCTTTTCTCTATCTTCTTTTGATTTTTGCTTTATTTCGTCTTTATGCTTTTCACGATAAATCTTGTTCTTTTCCAGTATAGTGTCTTTGTTATTCTCTCTATATGTCTTTTTCTTCTCTACAATCTGCTCTTTGTTGTTTTCGTAATACTCCTTTGACTTTTGCTGTATTTGTTCTTTGTGTGCTTCTCTATACCGTCGTTTGCTCTCCAAGCATACATTACATTGTTTTCTTCCTTCGTTGAACTTTTCTAACAATTGAAAGACTTTACATTTGGAACATTGCTTTTTGTCTGTCATTGGTCTCTATATGTTTAAGGGGTTATTTCTTTAGATAAGTTTAAGGGGGTGTTATAGGTTAAAAGTTCGGTATAATTATAACATATAAGATTTTACATGTTATTATTATATTATGATTATAATTTCAGTTCAGGATAATAATCTAATTGGTTTGTCTTACTTCTTTCATACATCATTTCAAAAATAATATTAACATCTCTCACTGTATTCTGAACATTAAACTTTTTACTTTCAATAAATAATTTGATATTTTGTTTAACATCTTCTCCTTTCTCTTGACTATAACCCAACATCCATAATATATCATAAATCATGTCATATTTTTCTTACTGATTTTAAGAAACTGTTTAACATAATCGTAAGGTGGTATTTTATTTACAGTTAGAAATATTAAAATATCATCTTCTACATTTCTATTATGTCTTCCTTTTATTCTCAACAGACATTTGATTAAAAATTGATTATCTCTCCATTCCTGACAATTTTCACATTCGTCTTTTTCATCCATTGAATAATTAATAATATTATTCACTATTTCATTAGGTAAACTCAATTTATACAATTCCATATTTTCTTTTTTGAAGTGACAACAATCATAGCATTTTTTATCGATATAATTATTGATTCCATCACCGTTCATTTTTCTCTTAATATATAAGGTAATATTTCTTTAAGTAGTTTTGGCTAGGGGGTTGCTGGTCGGCTGGTCTGGGTTTCAGGTTTAATTTAAATGTCTTAACCTTCTTGATAGATTATAAAACAATGTTTAATCATATTATAATTAAATATTATGAATAAACAAACATCATATTTCATAATTATTAATTGTATGGATTTCAAATTTGATAAAGTCTATCATCACAAGTGGTCTATTGACTAATCTTATTGTACCCTTTATTTCTTTCACCATCTTTTCTATTGTGATTAGGAGTTCTTCTTTACTTTTCAAGGTATATTGATTGGATGGCATATTACATTTTCCAATAACTGAATCATAATTAAGTTTTACTCTAACATGCATTTTAATCTTTATTTCATCGCTATATCTTATTAGGCTCATAAACTTTTCTGATGGGTTAAACGCGTAAGAAAACGCCTTATCGCCTTTTAACTTTTTGTTGTGTATCTCGTGGTTATACGTTGTAATTGACTTTTCTGGAGTTTTACGTCGGCTGACTACATCATTACTAATAGAAGGTTTCCATGTCCTTTGTAATTCTCTTAAAGCATCACATTGTTTCAGTCTTCGCCACCCTTCACTACCATTAATGTAAGTAGTGATGATTGAAACTAAACCGTCAGGTAAGCTAGCATAATTCTCAACCATAAAATTATTCTCTGACATTTTACCCTCACTCATTTTTCTCTTTATATATAAGGTTTTTTCTCTTTAAGTAGTTTTGGCTAGGGGTTGCTGGTCGGCTGGTCTGGGTTTCAGGTTTAATTTAAATGTCTTAACCTTGTTGTTAGATTATAAAAACTAGGTTTAATCATATTATAATTGAATAATATCATTAAACTAAATCACTCACGCTTTCCATCCACCTATTCCATCCCACCAGAATTCAATAATTCGCATCTGTCCATCTACTAGACTGTCTTCTTTGTTTAGTTTCCGTATCGCTCCTGATAAGATATAGTGGTTAATAATCATTGCATTAAACTTTCCATCTCGGTTTAACTTTTTACCACAGTCTTTTATGATGTCTTCATCTGTTAGGTTTTCATACATTTCTTTCATGATGTCAAACCTAACAAATGAGTATATCGCCATCAAGTTTAATCCGCTATTATCCCTAAACCTGCTAATGACA